ACAGAATAGTCATTGTAGATGATAAGATTAATGAACCTGAAGACTGTGATTGTCAGACATGATACATCAATTTGAATGGATTAAGAAAGCCTAGCAGATTAGTAAAGCAGAGTTCTGAGTGTGTCTGTGAATGACTGACATGTAGGCCAGCCAACTGAGGGTGGAAGATCCATCCTGGATGTGGTTGGCACCAACGAAAAGGCTTGTGGCATGGATGGAATAAAAAGGGAAAGAAGCATGTGTGCCCATTTCTGAAGAGCTCTCATTTTCACCATCACTTTTGGACACTAGTCTCTAGTTCCTTCAGCCTTCCAGTGTAGACTTACACCCTTGCCTTTTGAGTGAGTTTCCAGGCCTATGATCCTGGACTGGCGCTGCATCCTTGAGCTTTCTTGCTGTGTAGCTTCCATCTTCTTGGGCTGAGCAGCTACTGGATTCTCTTGCTCTTCAGCAGGCAGATGACCATTGTGGATTCTTCTGCCTCTGATCCTGTAACTCTACCTAATAAATTCCCTTGCCAACTATACATATATTTTTTATTGGTTCTATTGCTCTAAAAATGAGATTGAGCATGTTTAGGGTATGTCCGTAGACTCTGTTTGGCTAATGAAGCCTAACTGATACAAAGACATAGTAACAAACTCTATCCAAAAAGAAACACAGAGAAAAAGTTCTTAAAAGAAAATAACAGCATTAGAAAGCTGCAGTACAATTTCAAATGGCCTAATATGTGTGTAGTTGGAGTCCCTTGAAGGGGAGAGCAAAAAATATTTGAAAAGAAATATTTTCCAAATTTAGTCTGTAAATCTACATATCAAAGAAGCTTAATACCCCCAAGTTTAAGAAATATGAATAAAATGACACCAGGACACATCATAATCAAATCTTCCCAAACCAGCAATAAAGAGAACATTTTTAAAGCCCACAATGGAGAAAAAGAAGGCATGTTTAAAGCAGAGAAACAAATACATCATGACAGCAATCTTTTAAACAAACAATGTAGACTGTAAGATGGTAGAGCAGCACCTTAAAGTAGTGAAGAAAAAACCATCAACATAGAATTCTTTACCCATGGAAAATAACTTCTTCAAACATAGATAAAATCAAGAAATTTTTTTGGCATACAAAAACTGATGGAACAATTTACTATAAACAGATCCACATTGCAATAAATATTAAAGGAAATTCTTTACAGGTGGTAGGATAATGATCCTGGATGGCAAGACAGATTTCAGACATGAGAGGGAAAAAGAAAGCACCCAAACATATCAGGGTAAATATACTGCATAAGACTTTTTATTATTTAATTTTATTTAAAAAATTGACTAGAGCCAGGGCTGTAGCTCAGTGGCACTTTGTACTTTACCTGCCTGCAAGCACAAGGTCCTGAGTTCGATCCCCAGTATCACACACACAAAAAAATTGAGTAAACAAAAATAACAATGTAGTATCGAGTTTATATCACATGTAGAAGAAAATTTATGACAAAGGTCAGGCAGAGAAAAATAAAAGTATACTATTATAAGATTTTTATTCCACTTAAAAGCAATATGTCGATTCAAGATTAACCATGTAAAACTGAAAGCAACTGTGAAAATAATAATTATAGCTAGTTAATCAACAAAGGAGAGAAATGAATTTATTAACAATTCTCAATTAATTCAAAGGAAGACATAAAGCAAAGAAAAATAGAACACAAAAGAATTGGAACAAAAATAAAAATAACAAGATGGTAGATTTCATCATAACTATATTAATAGTCACTTAAATATAAATGAATAAATGCCCAAATTGAAAGATGGGGATTGTCAGATTGGTTAAAGTAGCAAGCCTTGACTATATGCAATTTATAGAACATGTATTCTAAATATGAATACATAGTTTTAGAAGTGAAAGGACAGGAAGAGATATACTATGCTAAACAGTAAAAAGAAAGCTGTAGTAGTTTATTAATATTAGGTCAAATAGACTCCAGAGCAAAGAATATTGTCAGGGATAAAGTCATTTCATAAGGATACAAAGATCAATTCATAGGGAAGATATAGTTAGGATTCTTAAATGTTTTGGGGGCCTCATAACAAAGCTTTAAAACACATGAAACAAAACTGAATTGCAAGGAAGAAATCAACAATGGTAGCATATTTTAATATCCCCTCTCAATAACTGATAGAAGTAGAAAGAAGAAAAGCAAAAAGACTCCATCAACCAGCATGACATTTATGAAGTACATCAGTCAACAGCAGCAGAATATGCATTCTTTTCAAGTATATTATGAGCTTTTACCAAAAAAATCAATATCCTGAATATAAAAAAAATTCAACAAATTTAAAAGGATTCAAGTTATATTCTTTGAATATATGGAATTTAACCAGAAATCAATTACAAGGAGATATTTGCAAAATCATTGGGACTAGAAAATCTGAAAAATATTTGAGAACTTATTTAATAACACTTCCAAATTACTCAAGGATCAAAGAGGAAATTCAAAGGGAAATGTGAAAGTACTTTGAACTGAGTGAAAAATGAAAACATTTAAAAGCTGGTGGAATGTGAATAAGCAATACTTGGAAATTTTATAACATGAAAATTATTAGAAGAAAAAATGGTGTCAGAATGAAAGAAGAAGAGAGGAGAGGAGAGGGGAGGGGAGGAGAGGAGACCCAAAGTAGGCAAAAGAAGAAAAAAGAGAAGAATATGGGTCAGAATGGCAATCAATGAAATAGAAGGCAGAAACAAAATAGAGGAAATCAATGAAACCAAACATTGGTTCTTTGGGAAACTCAATACAATTATTAAATCTTTAGTAAGACAAATCAAGAAAAGGAGAAGACACAAAGGACTATATCAAGAATGAAAAAGGTAACACTGATACAGGTTCCACAGGGGGTAAAATGATATTAAGAGAGCAATTTAATGCCAATAAAATTTGGCAACTTAGATAAAAAGGATGAATTCCTTGAAAGACACAAAGCACGCAAGTTCATTCAAAAATGAAGCCATAAACAGAATAGCCTAATACCTATTTCAAAATAGCATTTGTATTTTTTTAAAAAAACTTTCCCATAAAAAAGAAAATCTAGATTCAGATAGCTTCACTCGTCAAGTCTGTAAAACATGTAAGGAAAAGCTAATATTACTTGTATGCAAACTCTTCTAGAAAAAAGAGGAGGAGAGAATATATTTTGTATTACTCCATGAAGTGAGCATTACTTTAACAGTAAAGCAGACAAATACATTATACGAAAAGAAAATACAGAGCAATATTTTTACAAACTTAGAAAAGCTTGAAACAAAATTTTAGCAAATTGAATTCAACAATATATTAAAAGAATATACATTACCCAAATAAGGTTTATTCTAAGAATGCAGAGTTAGTTGCTTTAAGATTGGAAAAGAAAAATCATAATCTTTATAATAGATGCACAAAAAATATTTGACAAAAATCCAACATCCATGTATAATGCTCATTGTCATAGATTAAAAGTTCTGGATCACGGTTGTATCATTTCATTGTTCAAAATATTCTCATTGTTTCCCATTGCCCAAAGTGAGTTCCATATTCTTCCATCTGACATTCAAGGCTCGCTGTGATCTCTCCTCTACCCTGTTATACCTCCTCATGCACTGTTTAACAGAGCCACATTGCATAACAATTTCTTGGTACTTGTTCCTTTGCTTTTCTGCCTCACCCATTTTGCTCTTGTTTTGCTCTAGGCAAATGGTCCTGAACATTGGCTGTGCATTAAAATCACCATAGGATTACAAAAACAAATAAGTAATAGATGCCCAATTCTACCACCAGACATTCTGATTCAGTGTCAGGTAGGATCAGGACATTAAAGTATTCTCCCTTCCATGATTCTATTGGCTACTGAAACGGATGGTCTAGATAGTTTCAGTTTCCAAATTTGCATATCCCAAGCTCACTTGCCCTTCAGAGCCTACTCTAAACAGTCACTCCTTCACAAAATCTTCCCAGGTCACTGCAGGCAGAAAGCAAGCTCTCTGAATGTTGTGGTATCTTATTCTCCTCTCAAGCCTCACCTGTAGGTCTTCACGGACCTGACTGTATGTTCTTAATATCATATTTATAGATCTTTAAAAAATTTTGCTCTGAATAGTTTATAATTTTAAACATGGTAGGTACTGAGTGAATCATTTTTTTTAAATTTGATTTTATTGGTATATTTTAGGTATACAATATAATGACATTCATCATTGGAAATTTGCACCTTTGCATAATCTCTCTTTGTTCTTACTTTTCCCCCTTCACCTGCCCTCCGTTCAACCCCTCCATCCCTCCCTATTTACAAAGCTGAGTGAATAATTTGATGAAGTGTTTTGAGACAGTGGAGCAAACATATAGGTCTTCTTGATTACCAGTTAAATGGCAGTAGGGCATGAGTGATAAGTTTTAGGGGCATGGCACAAGAGAAAACATTTTTCTTTATATATGACACTTTACCAACAACTTTTTTAGCTCTCTAGCATCTATGTCAACATGTGTTTATTACTAACATTTCAATCTATTGTTCATGTAATAAATACAGAAGGTTTAAGTACATGACTAGACAACTTTCTTCCTGATCAATTCTTTTTGCCACAGATGCAACAGTAATAAAAGATCAATGAGATAAAAATTTATACCCCTTGTTCTGCTTTGAACTCAAGAGCCTATTAGAAGAAAAAGAGTATTAAGTCCATTTGAATGATTCACCAACAATAAGAAAGGCTCTTGAATATTTGAACTGGCTCTATTTGTAGAGATTATGTAGCACTGTTTCCTCTGGCAATTTTGAAGAATTAACATTTTTGTTTAGTTCTCTAGCAACTTATATCAATTTCCTTTAATTGCTCAGAACATTAAACAGTTATATTTTAACAAAATGCATAGGATTTAAGATGAAATAGATCTAACAACAGATCAGAACTCCGCTTTCTGTTAACTTACTGGTCCAACCCCAGTAGAAGATATTAAATAATTCAAATAGAGTGTTTACCTGGATATAGATTTACCAGCTTCTTCAAGAATTGTAGAGAAGTGTTTGTAAGGATCCTTGGCATAGACTGAGCTTGAAGTAAGTTTCTTGGAATCACCAAACAAAGACAGGAAATAATCCTCTCCGTCTCCAGCCACAGGTAACTCAGGGTCAAGGGTCTGATTCTTTGAAAGTAACAAGCAGCTGTTTCCTTTCAAAGAAATTAAAAAGGGAAGAAAACAAGAGATGGCAATAAATAAGCAAACATGAAAAGAACCCCGAGCCATTCTCTTTACTCCCTGCTTCTACAAAACTGTATTTCTTTGTATATTTTACTGTCACTGTCAAACTCAGTGAGAAGCCTTAATGAAAGCCTATAAAATAACCAGTGAGTATTTTTAGTGACATCACCAATTCTTAGAGATTATTCACATATCTAAACTATCAATTATATTATTAACATAATGAGTATTAAGTGATCATTTAGTTGTCATACTTGTGACTGTTTAGTATTATTCACATAATGACTAAGTGATTAGTTGTGCTGTAATATCAATTATATTATTAACAAAATCACTAGTTAAGCCATTATTTAGTAGTTTTTGAGTAGGCAAAATATTTCAGTCTACCAAATTTGGGAATTTTATATGCAATATAGCCTTATTGTATATAACACTTATTTATTCCTCGAATTATGATCCATAAATGAAAGCTTTCTCTATCAACTAAAATATGTACTTTATTAGGAAGATAAAGTAAGGTTTAATTAGATTCTAGTAGCCTTGAGAAGTTTTCTACTTTGAAATTTTCACTATTCAGATCAAATTACAAAATAGGCTTCATGATTTTGCACATAAAACCATGCTGAATGAGTGCAGTAATGTGGCAGCCAAGAGTGGCAGCCAAGAGCGGATGCCAGAGATGCAACATGGTGCATCATGGTGCATCATGGATGGAGAAAGATCTGCAATTGTGTCCCAGCTTTACTACTCACCAGGCCAGATGACTTAGACTTCCCATGTTTCAGTTTCCCTGAGCGTAAAATAAGGATAATGCTACCTTGTGGAAGGGGACATGAGGACGGAGATAACACAGGTAAGTGTTTAGCACAGTATTTAGCATTTAGCTGTTACTCAAAACATGACAGCTAAAAATTTTGAAAGGATTGAGACAATCTAGACTTTGCTTTAGGTTCTTACATCTTTGTCAAAGGCAAAGCAAGGTGAAGGATTTAAAGGAGTAAAAAAATCATTTCTTTTTCGTGTGTGTGTGTGTGTGTGTGTGTGGTTGTTTTGGTGCTGGGGATTGAATCCAGAACCTTAAGCATGCTAAGGTACATGTTCTATCACTGAGCTACACCCTCAGCTTATAGTTATTAAAAAGACTCCTCAAAGAAACACTTAGAATTGAATTAGTTTGTTTCCAGTCAAGCAAATTTCTACTTAATCCTTAAATCCCTTTCAGGAAGGATAATGTATGGGTTCCTTGTAACAGCTCATTCTGAATGATACAAGTCTTATAGTTCCAAAGGAAAAGAAAGATTAATTTTTTTCTTCCAGTTTTTCTTTCATCTAGAACAACAGAGGGGATGAATGAACCAAGCGGAAAAAGTCTCAGTGGGCCCAGGCATCTATCTATAGAAGTAGAATCTACACTAACTGAAGAAGATGACATCTCAATGTATCTCTCTCCTTGCAAAGGGAAGCCATGGAATTTTGCTTATTGCATACTATTAAGAGTTTTTACAGTTTAATTCACATACAGTACTAATGCTATGAATATCTATACATATATTTCCATATATATCATATATACACATATATGTACATATATATATATATATATATATATATATATATGATGGGAAATCTTCCCTTCCTAAGTCTAAAATTTGTATTGCATTTTTAAGAATTTAAGAATATGGATTCTGGTTATTGCTAAAAGTCAGTATAAACCTAGAAGATTTTTTGAAAGATTTATCTTAGTCATACAAACGTGAAACATAGGGAATATGACCATAATGGCAGCAAGATAAAACTGGTATGACACTATGTTAAAGATTTAAGACAATGCCAGAAACAAAGTGAAATATAGATGAGAAGCAGCCAGACTATAAATATCCACAAAATGGTAGAAGAAATGGAGCCATCAGATACTCATGGGAGTGTTTATGGTACCAGGGTGAAACATGTCAGTTGATTGCTAATTGAAATATAGCTTTCAAATCTAGACAATTCTAAAAGAAAATGTTTACAGGTATGCTAAGATTCACAAATAATTTTTATCAAGTACTTATAATGTGCTAGATTATATGCTAGGCCATCTTTATATTTATCTTACCTAACTCTAATAATATCCTGTGAATGGGGATTAATCCCCCATTCTGTGACCATGGAAAAGGGGACCCGTGCCTTATACTGTAGAAGGTAAAAAAACAATTGATTCTGTGTTTCCAGGGACAATGCTGTTTCCTGTAAATCATGGAAATTCCCTAAACCTGGTGAAGAACAGACACCCTAAACTGTGGGGATTGCTGAGTGCCTTGCTGAAAAATCAGAACTTTTCTTCTTGAAATCAGAGTACTATTCACGTTTTCCTCTCCTTTAAGTTCTCTTTATTGCTTTTTTCTCTCTGCCATTTTATTACCTACTTTATATTTCTGTTCTTTCTTATTTATCTATTTCTTACTTGAGCTATAAGTCTCCTAAAGATACCAAGTATTCAAGATGTTGCTTAATCCTTCTGGCAGCCTTCAGAGGAATGTCCATTAATGCTCTTCCCTGGAAACTTTAATTCTCCAGTAACTGTAGAGCATGTTAGCAGTCAGTCCACAAAAAGTCATAACTCCACACATATTAATCATGGTTTAATATCTTTGAAAATATGTTTTTATAAGGCCTCAATTTAAGACTCTAGGTCTAGTGTCAATGATGGCCATAGGAAAGTTCCTCTGCACATGGCATTTGAGAAATTAGCATTACTGCAGACAAATAATAAAATGCCATTCTGGCTGTGAGGCACATGAAGAATTTATTCAAATGCATGCTTTAAAAACAGTCTAAGTATTTGATATGTATTTTACTCACCAAGACTGTTGTCTGTTCGGGAAGAGCTCATAACCATAGATTTTAAAGCCAGTGGTGCCACCGTGGATACAGTTGCTCTGCTAACCTGAGGACTAGACGGATAGTAGCCAAGAGACAGTTCAGAGGATAATGATTGTGACAATGGCAGTGTTGTGGTGTGCGAGTCTGTCTTCAGGGAGAAAAAATGTACTGAAGATTGATTTCTCATTGGAGAAGCTCTGAGTTTGTCTTTCCTGCATACACAATGAGAATAAACAAAATAAGAAAGTCAAAGTGGCCATGAATAAACAGAGCACAGGCTGTCATTCTTGCCAGAGTCCTGCTCAGCAAGGGCATTATGCTCCTAACGCAAGTGCAAGAACGTCTAACATTTCTAGATTTAACAATCCGAATAATGCACTTTAGCATCACTTTATTACTTTCAATTTTTAGATTTAAAAACCAATAACTTATTATTGTAGACAGCTTTAAAAACATGTAAAAATAGTAAAAAGAAAATAGCAATCACATAATGCCATCAGGCAGAGATTTTACCATTTCCTTATAGGTTTTCATTTTTTATTCAAAGCTGAGGCTCTATAAACCATTATACTTCAATTTATCACTTATTATATTTCTTCTTACCATTAACATGAAAAGACCATAATTCCTATTTAACATACTATAGTTTATTATACCCTTTTTATTTCTTATTGCTGCTTTACTAATTTTTCTATATGAAAACGATTCTGTAGTTAAAATATCTTCTTTCAAATATACAGTGTGTGTGTGTGTGTGTGTCTACTGGACAGAATGGCAGAAAAGAGAGAGAAGAATAACACTTTTCAGGTGCCACTGTAGTAAGTGAATTATACTAAGAGCAAGTAGTTTTCCTGTTTTGTAAATATAAAAGCACTTGTTAATGCTCATACAATCATTTGAACAAGGTATTATGCAGTACAATTATGTTACAAGTTAATATTCTCATGATATGGCTCATGAGAATGTTTATGAGGACTCCACTTTATATGGCACATTGATACTTTTACCAGTTCTTCAAAACAATTTGTGGGTGTGTAAATGTGTGTGTATATGTGTATGTATTTAATGTTCAAATTGTGAACAGTGTCCAGAGGTCCCAAACCCTTCATCACTGAAAAACAAGCAAATGGTGAGTTCAATTATCCTGCCTTCTGGGGGCTGCATATCTATCCACTTAAGTCAGGAGTAAAATATTTTTCATTTGTGGATCATCTCTGTTTTGATCTATTTTCCATGGCACCTAGAAAGTTTTTGTGTTAGGCTGTAGTTGGGTTTGTTTTTGTTTAGTTTCCATGGTGGATGAGGGTCTGCAGCTTCCTTGTTTGCCATGTTGCTGATGTCATGCTCACTGTGTTTACCAAGAGCTATTTGTAATCATTTTAGTTCTCATTGTGGAAGTTCCTGCATTAGAAATTTTATAGCTGGAGAGCTTTCTACTCAAAATGAGACTCCTCTAAATATATCTCTCAAAAGGCATAGCCAAATCTTATGCAGATTTTTAATAAAATTAAATGACAATGGCTTTGAAAGCTGCATTTTTACCAGCTAAGTGCTTAGGTTGGGCACCCGCCATTCAGCTGCTAACTCCCAGCATTCAGATTTGCCAGAAAACTCTAACCCTTGAAGACACGCTCTTGAGTATGCTGTGAAGAGAGTGGGAAAGAGACTACGGAGACAGACTGTAGAATTACAAACATTTCATCTCTGTCCAGCCTGACATAGGATCATGTGACGACTTCTCCCTCTCACTGTCTAGAACAAGAAGGGAAAGTGCTTTTCTCTTTCAACATTCCTTACATCTGGGTTTCATTACACACGGGCTGTATCTTTTCAGCATACTCTTTTTGTAAGCTCTCATTTTTTTCTCCTTCAGTAAAACAGCATTTCCAAATAAACTTAATTTCACAAAAGTTTCCCAAATAAGCCTCATAAGCGTTACAGTTAGAGAAATCTGCCACAGGGACACAGGGTGTTTTTATTTTGTGGTTGAATAAGAGCTTTCTGATGTCTGAACACATCTTGGGAAACAATAACATTTCAGGAAAGAGACACAAGTGATACAGCCCATTGTCTGAATTGCCCACTCAGCTACCTTTGGGAAAGGATTTTTCTTAGTGCTAAGTTAGCTTTTCCTTTAGCACAAGGAATTTTCTAAGCCCCTTCTTGATATTTTTCTCCCTCTGTAATAGGCACTAAACTAGGAGCAATTACAAAAGCTCAATCCCAGCATTTCAAGGTTACTGTTCAAGATTCTGATAAAAATCATTTCTCACTTCTAAAATCAAATATTAAAAAACAGGCTTGTAGCTAGATGTGGTGGCACAGTACTGTAATGTTAGCTATTCAGGAGGGGCCAAGTCAGGACAACCACAAGTTTGAGGCCAACCTGGGTAATTTAGTAAGACCTTATGTTATATAACATTAAAAATTACTGGGAGTGTAGCTCAGTGTTAGAGCACTTGCTTGTATCCCCAGTACCACAACAAACAAAATGAGCAAACAAATAACAAAAAACAGATACAGACTGAACAGTAACCACAGGAAATCTAGCACCAAAGAAACAAATAGCTTTAAATTATGTATACTCAATAACAAAATCCATGTTTTACAAAACATTGGAAAACCAGTCCCAATGCTTTAGTTGACAGAATGATATATATTCTTAGTAAAAACAGAGCTATAATTTTATATAACATCCTTTATCGATATTTCCAAAACCCAAATTCTAGTAATCTTTTTGTCCCCATGTTAGTCAAGTAGTTGTAAAGAAGTTACATGCCAAAGGCCTTAACATACTGAATGGGAACTCTGGAATCTCACCCAGGTCTTACATGGTGAAGATCTGTCCAGGTGGGTTTTCCTATTACTCAATGACAGGCCCATGGTTGAGGAAATAGATATATGTGACAATTCATTATTTTTAGAAAATCTGTGGGATCTGTTCTAGTTTTAATTACTTCATAGGTAATTAGTAATTTCTTTTTTTTTTTAAATGAGGTTAAGTACTCCATCATTATCCCTACAGGACTCAGAGACCCTGCTCTCCCCATTTGTGCCATTCTTACTGCTCTGGTGTTTCCTTTTTATTTTCCTGCTTGTGAACTTCACCCTTGAGGGCCTCTGAAACTTCCTGGATGTCTTGTGCATCTTTCATCTTGGCTAAAACAGAAGTCTCTTTTTTCTTTCCTAGAAAAACAGATCATGATAGCAATGAATAGAACTGAATTCAAGGCAGAATTTGTTTTTAAGGTGACCTCACCTGTTAATCCAGCTATCTTCAGTTTACCAGATTTAATATTTTCTTTACCACAATAGTGCCAGAAATGGAATTTTCATGTGGATACGTAACTACTGACATGGCTAGTACTTATGTTGGTTGAGGACGTGAGACAAAGCATAGTGAAGGTGTGTAGCATTCTCTGGAAGCATCTCAGAGTGGGGACAGTGGCCAGCAAAGTGACCTTTGTGATGGTCACTTTTACATTGACAACACTGCCTCTTAGAACACTATGAGGTAACGTCTCCATAGTTAAAATGTTCCAGTCTCTGAACAATTACTGGGTTGATGCTGCTTCTGCCTTGCATTTCACAGACATTAAATAAGGTATCTCACTTTTAGCAGAACCTTATCTCCCACTAGACAGACTTTGACACTGAAGTCTTTAATATCCCATTGTGGATTTTTGAATGTCAAGCAGTATAGAACTATTGAGGAAATTTATCACAACTCCTTCCTCTTTCTCTACTCTCTTCACCTGTGCTCTCCTTCCTCTTTCTTTTTGTTCCTTTGGACAAATGCTTTGAAGTGATGAAAACAGGTAGGCACCAGAAATTTAAAAAAACATATAAATTTAAGGCAAAAAGGAGACTGTTAACTGAAATAGTAAAATTAAATCCAGAAAACCTAAATTCTTCTAGTTATACCAGCAGCATAACTTAGAAGAAATCACTTAATTTAATTTCTACCCTATATAAAAGCCCTACACTTAATATTTCATGATTATGATGGTATAAGAATAAAATTAACAGACATGAAATATATGATTCTACAGAGTAATAAGATGTATTAATCATGATGATTACTGGATGAGTGCATTCATCTAATAATTGTCTAATGAGCATCTACTATGTACCAGGAGCAAGCTAGGACCCATGAATTAATAAAGCTTGATTAAAGAATAATGAAAATGTATCTTCCACTCTAGATTTGAAAATGGCTTTTATTCAGAATAATAAGAAATATTTAAGTACAAAGGATAATGAATAAAGCAGTTTTAATGAGTTGAAAGTCCAGAGGTATATTACACAATAAGACAGTTAAACCATAGGAAAGTAAAATTTAACTCTATTTTCCCTGTTTTGGAGATCAAGCACAATTACTTATCAGCACTACGAGCCCATTATACAAAATTATCATGAGGAGACTTATGAGCTCTACCTAGTTTGGGAAAAGAATTAAACAATGGTTTTATCATTTCTTGCCACTATCGCAGTTTCCCTACCATAACAGTCTGGATAGCTTCTTAGCTGTTAAAAAATCTCTGTTAAAAACTACACATCTAGTTAAAAACTACACATACTAGCATGAATTTATTATGTCCTCACTTGTTTTATCAGACACCTCATTCATATTTTCCTGCATAATTTGGGGGAAAAATTTGGTCAATAGAGAAAAACTTATGACAGCTTAAATTTGTGGATGTTTCAATGTCCCTTCTCCATACGCAGTATTTTCCTTTCCTCAAATTATTCCATATATGCAGCAAAAACCAATTTCCCCTTTGTTGCTACTCAAACTAACCCAGTGGTTTTCAACTGAAGACAAATTGAATCACAGGGAGAATTTTGTAAATATCAGTGGACATTGACATTAGCCATAAACATTGGGGTGGGGTGCTAGTGGCAGGAGACAGAAATGCTAGACTCTGCCATCTGGCAGGTAATACTACTTGGTAAAGAGTTTTCCTACATGCCACTTGACTTGCCAGACTTTCATACGGGTGGAAAATGGATTATAATCATCTGAGTCTAAAGTCTAGCTCCATATTACATGTAAATACGGAATATTCTATATGTTTTAATATATACCAAATTTTCCAGGAAATAAGTACTCATTATTTAAATGGAAGGAGAATTGCATATTGATTTGCTCAGACTTTTTTTCTAAGAGTTGCTTATCAGTTTGGAAAATGACATCAATAACAATACCACGTGGTATTGATAAAACTTACTGGAGTTGTTGATACAACTTACTGGACATAGGTGATAACAGTAATAAAAATGTCAACAACAGCAACAAAACCAACCTGAATCTGAGGAATCCCCTAATTTGCATATAATAAAGTGACAGAAGAGCATGTTAACTAATGGACTAAGAGATTTCAGACACAACTTTTGGTCAGGAATGGTGGCACACACCTGCTATCCCAGTACTTGGGAGGCTGAGGCAGGAGGATCATCCCAGGTTTGAGGCCAGCCTGGGTTACATAACGAGTTCAAGTCCAGCTGGAACTATAGCAAGACCCTGTCTCTTCCCCCCAAACAACACAACTTTTGTAATTTTTTGGCAAAACATATACTAGCGCAAACTATAAAAATATATAAGGTATTAGAAATTTAAGCACACTAGATATTTAATGAAATATTTGCAGTGCTATATATTACAAATGTATTTTTTTAAACAGCACTTATCTTTTAGAGATATACATTAAATAAACCTTTGTAGGTGAAATGGCTTCAAGTTAATACAAGGGCAGAAAGCATACAGGGATATAGTTGAGAAAGATGGCCCTGACTTGTAATTGTTGACACTGTAATAGGACATGGAAATCTATTACATATCATGGCTCGTTTTTACTGTGAATGTTTGAGATTATCTATAGTGCAGAGGTTAAAAGAGGGAGGACTGATTCGGGATGCACAGACTTCATCACTGTGGCTGTGCTAGCTCAGGAAGGAGCCAGGCCAAGGCCGAGCTGAGAGGGAAATGCAAACCCAGTGCTTACACAGGGTGGAGGCCATGGCACAGGTTCCTTTCTGACAACTCCAATGATGGGAATCTCCCCACTTTCCAAGGGAGCGAATGAAAATACAGAGAAGAAATGTCCCTTCCAATGGATTTGGCCAGAAAGTGGGAGAGCCAGGATTTAGTCTCATTTATTTGTGATAAAGATACCTTCACTATAGTTGCTGTTTCTATTTTAATTCTTGTCTAATATCTTCCTGATTCCTTTTGTGGTTATTGTCTAAAAAGTCATCCACTCCTGAACCAGCTTTATCCTGGTCTTTTTCTCTTTTCTGGTTTCAGAATATTCTTTCTCCCAGCTTTCTGGCCCTGTGCCAGTTCTCTTTGGCATATTTCCCTCTTCGGAGAATATCACACTTTTACATGGGGAACTGAAAACCCAGAAGATTAGATAAAGGTTAAAATAGGAAGATGAAAACTGAGTTTCTTGACATAACCTTTTCACCTTGATTAAAAAATTAAAAGTGGCAAAATTTTATATTCTGCAATTTTTAAAAACAGGCAAAATATTACATATACACAATTTTGAAACAACACAAAGAGCTGGCTTTGTACATTCTAGCCCCGTCTCCACATATGGAGAACATTTGCACCGCAGGAGATTTTTATTAAACAGGGACTATAAATAAAATGCCTTGCATGAATGAAGGCTGTATATAGAAAGGGAATTTTCCTTCCCTCTCCAGCCATGGGTAATGTGCAATTGAGTAATTTGCAGTTAAGGATTACAATATAAAACATTATGACATGTTCCATTTTGTAAGATTCAAAGAGTTTAGAATAAAGTTTTAGGAATATCATTTCATATCTGTACTTCCATAAAGATAATCTAAATTCCCATTATAAAGTATCTGTGTGTTAAAAAACTTATAGGTCAATCTATTTCCATCACACAGATCTACATGGAAATAACTTAGCCCCCAATACTGATGCTATTATTTTATCTTGAACTCAGGGTCAAATTAAGGGCCTAGTGGAGGTGTTCAAAGAGAGGCTCAAAGACCATTTGTTGGAAGTTTCAAGTTTCAGAGAGTTGTCAGGGGCCTTCCCCATCACAAAATTCTGGTGCAAAACAACATATGTGATCCTAAAAGTGAAACACTGGTTTGAATCCTCAAACATTCATGGTTTGTAAATAACTGCATAGTTACTTGACACATAGAGTTTGTGCATTTTAGGGTTACCCTTTATTCATAAATATTTTCTATTCATGGTCTTTTAGAGGAATATAACACGTATCTTTCTAGGTATAGGCACCCCAGATTGCTTCAGGGCACATACATCCAGAACACTTGATCTTAATTTTCAGAACACTCTGTTCTTTATAGGATATTAAAATTATAAATAAATGTATTTATATTTCACTTATATACTATTTTTAATTTTTACTACCAAAAATCTACCTATATTATTTGTATACATTTGTATATATTAGTTGTACTCATAACTGCTAGCCTGTGCATCTTTTAAAGAAATTAAACACCCAACAAACTGTTGAACCAAGACCAAATGGTTGGTTTTGAGTTTTTCCATTGATAGAAACTTGCAATTTCATTTTCTGCTTCATGTGCAGGAGCAACCTCTAGCAGAAAAGTTAAGTCTGGAGCCAAAGTCTCCTAAGAAATTATTAGAGAACAATTTGAATGGAGAAAATCCTGGCTATTACCTGCCCCCCTTTCTCTTTCGGTCCTCCTCCTCCCCCACTCTTGCTCTCTCCCTCCTTCTGCAACAAAAGAAAGGCAATTCTGGCTCAACCTTCTGGCTGCTTGCTGACTCCATGGCTCATGGGTCATTAGCGCCCCATAGGACACTGGCTAAACATATAAAAATCGTAGCCTCTGTGACAAGAACTGGATTAAGAGAGTAAGAACAAGTCATTGGACACTCAAACATGAGTCTTCCTGATGGCTTTAGGCACAAATATTGCACTATATAGTTGAACCAAGCCCGGGGTGCAGCCAAGCAGGGAGGCCCTCAGCCTCGCCTCTCTCTCCAGAGACCACTCACATAACCAATCTGATCAGTGGTGGTTATTGTCAGCGTTACCCATTATTGATGATAGCAATCGCTGGCAAGGAGAGTTAGACTTCACCAAAGTGAATTAGGCATTCTTGAGAGACTCCATGAGACAGTCTACTAAATGAAACTGTTTCACTTGTTCTGGCAACTGGACGTATAAACAAATTTAAGTTGTTGAAGAGAAAGTTTTCCCTTCATGTACAAATAAGAGAATAGAAGAAATCGAGAAGGTCCTAAGGATACTAAGGATTCTTATCTTTTGCATGATACTGCTGACCTTCTCTAGGAGCAGACCAGAGACTACCAGATGGTTAATAGAGTGTCTGTCATCAGTATAGTGTCTGCTTTGCTTGGCAGAATACATATGTGTAAG